TGGCAAATATGGCTGGTATTTATAGCAATCCACCTTGTCTGAAGATGCCAGTCACAGTTGCTGGCAAAATGTCAGGAAATCTATTGTCTAGACCATAGTTCCTAAGCCCTGAAGTCCAACACAGCCCAACAGATACTGGCTATGAAAGGCTACACCAGGATCTCCCTGTTTTATTTCCACAAATCATATGGGAGAGGCTGGGCTGTGACTGAGTAACTAGTCCCAAGTCTGTAAGATTCCATTATTGAATCTTGGTCTCCCCAGTAGTCCAGCATACAATCACTCTGCTACATTGACACGCTGCTGTTTATGTAAACCAGCATCCATGGCTATGTATCAAAAATCTTGAAAACTGAGAACTTATAAATAGATAATTACTAGTACATAAGTGTTTGTGCTATTTGTTTTTATTGATTTTTTTAAATTATAAAAGCTTTCCAAATTAATAGCCACTCTTAAGTCAACAGAATACTAATTTTCACATATTTACTGGGTTATCCTAGAAAATTCACTGTTGGGTCATTCTTTCAAAAAGGAAAAGAAGAGAAGGGATAAGAGGCAGAACTTTCTACAGGAATGCTTTAACTTGCTATGTCTTCTAAAAAAAATCTATTTGTTATCTCATATTAGAAAAGAAAAGTGACGAGATGGTCCTTTGAGACCGCCAGCCCCGTCACCCGTAAAGAGCCACCTTTATAGCTGAAAGGCGGCTCGAAAAACTCCGTTTCCGTAAGGAAACGTGAGACAGAGCCGGCGAGGGCAGGTAGAGCCCTCTGCGAAGTCCCCAGAGTTCTTTTTTACCTCTGGGGAGGAAGCAGGATGAGGCTCCCCATTTTCCTCGCCGCTGCTCCAGGCTTCGGGAGAACTCTGCGCTTTGCAGAGCCAGGCGATGGGACCAGACCAACTAACGAAAACTAACAGACTTTCTGAATAAGCAGGATGAAATCCGGACCTGGGACCCTAAATTGCAAGTACTTCTAACAAACCTAAGACTGATTTTAAAAGCAAAGAAGAGTGGAAGGGGGAAAAAAAGAAAGTTTAAAATGGCGACTGGCTGAGGCTTGAGAAGAGCTGAAAGCGAAAGTCCTTCTGTTTGACTAGTTTAATACGTTACAAAGTATCTGAAGCAATAGTGCTGGCTAGAAGTGAAGAGAAAAATTCTTATTTCATGCTTCTTCCTTCTTAGAGACTTGATATTGATATTGTTTGGAGAGAATTTTTTTTCTTTAAAGGGGAAAAAAAGGGAAAAAAAATCTGCTTGTGTGGCAGGATGGCGTTAAAACTCACAAAGCCAGACAACCAAGCTGGGGGGGGCCTCCCCCATTTATAAACCACATGAACAAGCTTTGAGTTTGCAGATGCAGAGGAATGGCTTCAAAGATCTAACGCAATTTGTATTGGAGGAGACGGCAAGACATGATGAGATTGTGAACCAGAACCTTGAAAAATTTAGACAGGAAATTAAAGAGTTGGTTCAACAAAAGTATGATAAATTCAAGCAACATATGATAAGTTTCTTAGGCGCAATGATAAAGATGGATGAAAAGTTTAATTCAGAAATAGAGTCTAATATGAAGGAAGTTGATTATAAGATTCATAACTTGGATAATAAAATACAAAGAATTGAAAATGATTTAACAATGTTTCAAGAAAATAGCTCAGAAGTAGAGTCAAAAATAAAGGAAGCTGACTACAAGACTTACAATGCAGATAATATAAAACAAAGGATTGAAAATGAAGTCATAATGATGCAATTCAGATTTATGGAATTTGCGGTCAGAATTAGGGGAATACAGGAAGATAAAAGAGAAGATTTGAGAAAGATGTCTGCTGAAGTTCTGGCTGGGATTTTAAAGGTTAGTCCTGAAGAGGTATCCTGTAAGATTGATAAGGCCTACAGAGCAAATTCTTGGGTGGCAAAGCAAAGGCAGTTGCCTTGAGATGTGGTGATTTACTTTACTGATAAAGGAATAAGAAATGATATTGTGCAAAAGTCTTTTAATTCCACTCTTGAAATGTATGGAAGGAAGATTTGGATATTTAAAGAGCTGCCACCCAAGATGTTAAAAGATAGAAAGGATTTTGGTTTTTTGGTGACTGAGCTAAAGAAACAAAACATCCCATTTAGGTGGGATGCTCGAGTTGGAATAATATTGAGATATCAAGGAGAAAGATATCAACTAAATACTGTTGAAAAAGCGGAAGAATTTTATTATAAGGTTCTTAAAATGGATTCAACATCTCCATGTATAATACACGAGGTGAATAAAGAAAAGCGAAATCAACAAGAGATTGAAACCCAGGCTAAGCAGATAGAGGTGGAGGTAATGGAAAAACAACAAGTTACAGAGGCTTTTGTGAACGAGCCGCTTATGGATTCTCCTTCAGAGGTTATAGTTGGATTACCTATAAATACAAGAGAGATGGCTTTGGATTCTAATGTGATGACTTATCAAGTTACAGACCAGCATGGAAATCAATCAGTTGATATACAACTCCTAGAAAGGCAACCAGGGTGGAGATCTAAACCACAAAAAGTTAAGAAAAGAAGAAGCAGGTCCTACAAAAATAAAAAAATTTAGACTAAACAACAGTGTAATGCCAGTTACTTAAGAGACGATTAAAAACATGAAAATATAGCTGAGGCAAAGTATTGGTTTATACTATTTTGAGGAGAGTGACAGATCTCTGCAGTGCTGTGTTTTTGGGATGTGGAAGATGGCCTTTAACTGAGTGGATTGGAACTTTCTATTTTGGACTCTTTGACAAATGGATTATGTTTATGCTGAGCTATAAGGCAAGAGAACTATGGGACTGGGGCATGCAGAAGATCTGGTTGTTACCCTAATACGGTGGTTGGAATTAATAATCTAGATGAAACATATTACAGAAGACACTATATGGAATATAAATATAAAGTCACTCGGGTGGTTTTTTTTATATACGAAAACATTTATTATTGATGGGGGCAGATGGTAATTGAAGATACTGAACATACTGTTGGAACTAGAATTTGATGTTAACCTAACATGGGTGATGGAATTAACAATCCAGTTGAAAGACATTACAGAAGATACCATATGGATTACAAGCTTAAAGTCATTTGAGGATTTTATCTATATATGGAAATATTTTTTAGTGGTGTGGGCAGAAGAACAAAGATATTGAAAATATTATGTATGGTAGACCTGCAGGAAAGTGGGTGGAGATAGGCTAGCTTACTGATTGTTTACTTTAGGAAAAGGGATGTTATGTTATATTAATATACGTAAAAGATTTGAATTAAGAGATATATGTATGGGGGAGGAGGAAATGGATAGATTATGAGTTGAAATTGCCAAATTAGGATTTATTATATAATTTTACAGCTGAATGTTGCTTTGAAATGTATAGTATAAGGGGGATATAATAATATTGTTAGAAAGAAAGGGTCAGCATATGGGGGGGTGGAGTAAAAAGGATGGTAAAGTATTATATAATCTGTTATTAATTTGGGTTTTATTCTGGAGAAGCCACAGGGGGAGGGAGGGGAGGGGGAGGGGGGGTTAGGGAGGAGGGGGGGAAAAAGGGGGGAAAATCTGTATTTGAAAAACTTTTTCAATAAAAAAAAATTAAAAAAAAGAAAAAAAAAGTGACTACTGCTATCGTATTGCATGTACAAATAAGAACTTTCCAACTGTTTTTGTATTTTTCTTATTTTACTGTGGAAGCTGTCTTTGGAAAAAAAGTTAAATGTAAATTGAAGTAATCTCAAGGATTTGTAATTTGATGCTAATTAATCAACATTCAAGTAGAATTAACATTCTTTATAATGGAAAAACATTCAATTATGTAATATTAATATACATAATGGCTAAAATTAACACATCACTCAATACTCAAGCACAATATTTTATTTTCCTTGATAAAACAATATAACCTTGTCAGTAGGTAAATAATTAAGCAAAAATTAAGAAATTGAAATATGTTGTTTGAATTTGAGTAGCATATGGAAAATTGACCACAGGAAAAAAAATCAAAATATATTTTTTACTGTACAAAGTCTAAATACTGCAATGACGTACAAAGTGAAGAAAAAAAAATCCTCCACTCATGATGCCAAAGCAAGACATCAGCACCAGATTCTCTCTCAGATAGAACAAACAATAGAAATATTTGTAAAGTATATATACAGAAGAGAAATAAAGGGAATCCCTTTACTGGCCCTTTCCAGAGAGCCTGCCAAACCAACAAACAAAAAAAAATGGCAAGCTTAACCAAAGGTAATGATTAAATATATTATTATTCAAATTGAAATATAATTATACATTAATTTATGTACTAAGTTCATATGAATTATATGACTTAATGCAAATTACTGTGTACACTGGTTATATTTGAATGCACATATACAAACTGAATCACCACAGAAAAAATTTATTTCCTTAAAGAGTTAAAGAAAAAATGTTACATTTGACTGGAACAAAAATGGTGCTTTATATTGTGTATATGTAAGGATTAAACCAGAAACAAAGTTGAACACTTGTCTAATATGGACTGGAGAATGTATGTCACAATGATGACAGATATAAATAGTAGAGAAAATTGTTAAAATTATGTTAACAACATAGAAGGAAATGGCATCAAATGTATGAATTAGCACTGATATATTTGTGGGAAAAGACCAATTAAGAATACATGATTGCAATCCCATACACATGTGTGTTGTGGTATCAGTCCTAGGTTTGCTTTTGAACAGACATGCATGGGATTGAGTGATATCTGCTTCTGAAATACATGATTATGTGGAATCTGTTATAGCTAGTCCTTCTATAGCTAACAATTTTATTGCTAGAGTAATCAGAACAGTTGAAATTGTACCTACTCTTGTGGAATGATTCACAATTAAGTTCTTTTGTAATGGTGCAGTTAATTTAACTTCTAAATGAGGGTACTGTGCAGAATGGCTCAAGGTTTTAGGTAAATTATTTCTCAGTAAGTCTTAAAAATACACTATAGAAAAGACATAATGATTATCTTTATTCATTACAAACATCCATTAATATTAAGGAACATTACCTATAAATTGGGTAATACACCAACAGTTATTGCATCCTTATCATGTAAAAGATTTTAAAGGGGCCTTTTTTAAAAAAAAAATTTTTAGATTACAATGTTAATATGTCCCTACATGTGATTGGACTGGAAAATAAGATCAAACTGTTATATTATTTGTTAATATAAACACGGCACAGAGGTATCCAACTGTAAGTCCAAGTAAAACAAGGAGCTTCATATAGAACAGTCACAGGACAAACAGTGATCCTTAAAGGCAAAGTCATACGGTGAAAACAAACAGATGAAGAATATGCAGAACAATCTACAAATATACGACTCACTAAACTCCTGGCAAATAGTACCTAATGAAATGTTGTATTAATTTTGCACTGCATTACAAACTTAAGACTTATAAGAATCAATCCTTCAGTTTTTCATTCACGTAAGAAAATTGTTTTGAATGAAACTTTTCTTTCTTATCCCTGCCGCAATACTGAAGTGATAAATTAATGAACTATAGTTATATTTCATTACAACATTAAAATTCACAAAGCCACAGAAATATGCAATTTACTGGTACATTCGGAATTAGTTTAACTGGATATAATTAAAATCTTACTTGAGCAAATGGTTTTGAAATAATTTTGAAAGGATTCATATCATGCAAAATTTCTTTTTTTAAAAAGTATCTAAATGTATAATGTTGCCAAAGTATTTCACCAGCCTAATCATAGTGCTGGAAAAGTTATTTTGTCTGCTTAATATAACTACTTCTCCAAGTCTCTAAAATTAACCATTTTCTTCCCTTTTGGGAAATCGGAACAGTGCTCATGTGTATATTGGTCTCTTTTCTGTCTTAAAAAGCTGTAAAAGATTTCAAGGTTTTCAAATAAAACTATGTAAAACAAAGTCCCAGGATTATTGCCATTACTGAATCATTATTTGGGTCTTTCAGGCTGGAGACTTTCAGTCAGGCACTTGAGTTGCTCTTCCCCAAGTTTGATTTTGTCCTCCAGCTCTCGCTGTTCTATTATGAGGGCTGATTTCATTTTGACAAAGTGCTCATAATCGGCAAGGCTTTCATCACTCAGATAGCTGGCCAGAATATCAAAGACAATGCGTTCTCTTCGATCCAAGTTTTCCTTCAGCTCCTTTGCATCTTCATGCTGTTGTATGAGTAATTTCTGTTTTTCTACTAGAATCCGCTAAGGGAACAGAACAGGAAAATTGTAATGATTAATACATTTAGCTTTATATTCCATTTCCATAATGAACATTCTCCTATCATTGTTTAAAAGAAAACATTTTAGAAAGACATGCTTCCCAAGCAAATAGTAAAATGAAAGAAGCAGCTTTCTGAATTTTATTATTTGGTAGAAATTTTTTTAAAAATATACTGTATAATTAATGGCAGCACTCCCATGTCTCAAAAATGTTGATGAAGATTTGATTCACTGTCTGCTTTGTGAGCCTTTTTATTTTTAGAGTTCTTTTCTACAAGTTCTAATTAAATTATGTCCTCAGGGACATTGTCTTGTGATGAGTTGTTCTGTTCCATTACCATCTTAGGACAACCACCCTAGAAATGGGTACAACCTCAGAGGTTAAGTGAGTATTCTTTTCCTGGCTCTTGTATGGTTTGGTCCAAAATATGTTGGAGAATGCAGATTCTCTTAAGAACTTCATTTGGGGATGATCTACTTAATTAGGCCACAGTATAACTGATAGGTCCAAAGTGCCCCAGCCCTTCCAACTTCACTTCTAGAATTGCAGCTAGCTAAGAATGGAGGCTTAGAGTCTGAGATGTCCACAACAAGCAGTCCTCACCTACTAAATGAGGAGGAAAAATGCTCTCCTTAGCAGGACTGATCAACAATTTTCTATATAAGGCAGTTCAGATAAAAGAAAACCACTGCTCAAGTAACATCTCTCTAGCATAACAGCTTTTGGGCAAAGTTGATTTCTTATTTTTAACCAAGAAGATTACTCAATAAGACAGGAGTCTATGTATATACTTGAGCTGGCAAAACAAAATAACATTAGAGTTCCTCCTCATATGACAATACAAATGCCTTACCCTTTCTTCAGGAGAAGCATTTTCATCCAAGTTGTTTAATGCATTTTCTACTCTGGCAAGTCGACCAGAGAGTGATAGCAGGAGGTTAACCACTTTGTCTAGATCTCCAATAAACATCCGAAACTTGTCAAATTCATTGGGTTTGCAGACCTCCTTTACCACTACCTCCACTTCATCTCCAAGAAGATTATTGGCTTGAATGTCTTCCAAGAGTGTCTCTCGAGCGTCTTTTAGCACTTTTAGTTTTCGACTAATGCTATCTATAAGCTCTTGCTGAAAGAGAGAGAGAAGCTAAATTTATGAGATATAATTGTTAGATTTATATGACTACTCATCTCATGACTTCTAAATGGTTAGATGATGAAACCACAAGATAAGAGAATCTTTCCAAAATAGTCTATATATTTTTGGTATTCAGAAAAATCAATGTGAGCAAAATATGTTTGTTTCAAATAGTTAGAACAGCTATTAATATTCCCTTACTGGAGTGGTTATAAAGGCATGCTGTGAGCAATTTCTGATTTGGATTAAGAAAAGACAAGAAATAAATAAATAAATAATAACTGTCAGTTAAATAAGAAAGGATTTTAGTGGCAAAAACATTAAAAAATACAAGTTAGATTTTTCTTCTAGTGATTTGATCTTAAATCTTCAGTAAGGCTGGAAAAGTATATTGTAAGAATGGGAAATATGGATATAATAGAAATAGGGTGGGAAAAGTAAATGATGGAATATCAGAAGTAATAATTTATGCATTTGCATAAATGCAATAATTATTTTCTCTAAAAAACAAAAGTGCCCTCAAATCAATGTAAATTATAATAGGATTGAAGGAAGAGAACTGGGATGTCCAACTGAAGAAACAACTCTTTAAAAGTAGCAGAACAACTATGTTATCACTACATATCTGAAATGAATCAAGGATAGTTAAATGAATGTCCTGTGAAAAGAGAATTTCACAATAATAAAAATCCCAATGCCTTTGGGTTTTTTTTTTTAGGAAGTATCTTTTTTGTCTCCTACATTTTATGTGTTTTTCATGTGCGCACAGAAATTGAAAAATTGAAACAACATTTAGTGTGGTTGAGATCCAGATAGTGGGAAAAAATTTTTCAGCTACGGCCGGGTTCATGATTTAATTATTCCTGGATAAAGTTATATCATGAATATTAAAAGGAAACTGGCTTATTTGACTGTATAAAAAAGTTTGAACCAGTAGTTTTAGTTTCAGCACTGAGACATAGGTTTTAAACAGCTGATGACACAATAGTTCTATGCTTGACAAACACAGGTGCGACTTCCTAGAACAGGGAATTTTTCCACAAGAAAATCCCACCTGGCTACATATTCCATTTGAATTACACAATCATGTGGGTGTGACATTTAAATCTGAGCCATGAGACACTAATCAAAAGCAACTCCCACACAACTGCACTTCTGTCTATAGAGCATCTCAGACAATTATTGAAAATGTGCAAAAATGTACTTCCTCTTTATTGAAAGATAGGAAATATTAACAGATCAAACTTGAGAAGAATCACAACTTTTTTTTAATCTGGGGAAGATTTATTTTATAAAAATCATTTTTAAATTAACAACTGTTTTTATTCAAATCTTTTCCTGATTTATGCACATGTGAATAGAACTATTAGAAATTAAATGAGCAGATATTATCTAGGTGGATATGGAAATGTCTGCAAATAAAAAACCAAACTCAGAGAAGTTTTAAAACCCAAGTTTCTAACACTCAGTTGGATATATTTTGTACAATTGTGTTACACATAATCCAACAGGGATATTAATTATTACAGTACGTTTTGATCATACTGCTAAGAGTATTGTGAATGACTTTATCTTGATTATAAAGAAAGAAAATTTCCTTTGCTCTTGCCAATTTATGTGTAGCATAATTTAGTTCAATAATCAAATGTTAATGAATATGGATCTATATTTATCAAAATCCTTACAAACATAAATTTTGGACTGCCAATCTAAGTTGTGAGAAGTCCATCACTGAAAGTTTTTAAGAAGAGATTGGATCGCCATTTGCTTGGAATGGTATTGGTACAGGGTCTCCTGTTTGAGCATGAGGTTGGACTAAAAGACATCTAAGGTCCTGTTCAACTGTTATTTTGTTATCTGTTAAGTCTCCCTTCAGATATCCTGAAATTCTCACTTATTAACTTTGGCCTTAAATATTTTTATTTTGTTACCAGTATTTGTCCTGCCTTTAAAGCTACATATAATACCTCTCTTGAAGTGGGTTATATATTATTTTATTTGTAAACTGCCCAAAATCACTCAGATAATGGGGTGGTATAGAAATTTTATAAATTAAATAAATAAAAATCTTAACCTAATGATAAAGTAAATATCATGAGTAAACATCCTGTTTGGAGCCAAGAAAAAAAAAACCAGCAATAATTTAAAGAATTTTCATTTAGAAGTTGTCATTAACTTCAAATTAAGTAAAAATTGAAATAATTAATATGGTTCTTAAACAGGAGGTCTGAATTTTCTTTTAGAAGTTCTGAAATGATAGGCTTAGAGTTAAGGTCACCAAGAAGGTTCTTTTTTTATGTTCATCAACAAGTTGAACTCAACAGTAGCCCTTGAGCAAAACATCAGAGTTTGATCTAAATTAATCGTGCTGATTCAGATTGATGAAAGTACCTCATAAATTACTGATATTCTGAACAGGTTCACTAGGAAATAAATGCTGTTGAACTGAATGGCATTTTTCTCAGTTATGTTTATATAGGATTTAATTCTAAAAGTTAATGTAATTCTTTGTTGAAAAGTATCTTCTTTACACATAGTAAATTATTCTGTATTCTGAAGAGGCATTAATGCTATCACTTTGCTTTTTTGTTCAGTATTTCAACAGGAGCTTCTCTCTTTTACTTTGTGAATACTGGATACTAGGCACTTGTTGCCTCCTCACAATTTTTGGTGTGATCACATTTTATTTTCAGCTGAACAGGCAATGAGACAGACCACTAGAAAGCTCAAGACCATGGCTTCCAATAATAAGTAAAATACTGAAAACAAAATCTCATGACAAACTTACCTTCTTCTCAGACAAATTGTGGTCTAACTCATTTTCAGAATCCTCCTCACTTTGCTGTTGCTGCTGCTGCTGCTGCTGCTGCTGCATATCCTTCATCTTGATCAGAAGTTCTGCCTTGGGTGCAGAGGTGCTATAGTAAGTGGAATTAGTTGTTAAGGGAATGGCCAAAGACAGAGTCAGCTCCTCTTTCCTAAGCAAAGATTTAAAAAAATACTAGTTTTCAACAGACTTCTTGACATGTTTATGCACTGAAAGCAAGATAATAATTACTTTGAAATACTATTTGCAGTAGATAGATTGTAGGGTTAAGAGAAAGCTACCTACAGAAACAATGGATAAAATAACCATATTGTTTTATCACTCTAAGAACCTAGCTAGAGAGACAGGAAATTAAAGGAATGTCTCAAAATTATGGCCTAAAATGCTGATTTCTATTTTGCTTCTAATTTATGTTCTCTGACCATATTTAGATTTCTATGCCCTACCCTTGATTACATGGGCAATGGAAGAAAGGTGATATTTAAATCTGTTTCTGGCTTTCATTAGCCTTGATTATCTAATCCCATAAACACACATTTTGTAAATATATAGGTTCTTGGGTTTCATTATCTGCAGTTCTAATGCTTAAAAGAACCTACTGCTAAAAATACCTTTCTCTTAACACTAGAAAAGTTAAGATTGAAATCAGTTCACTGATAGCAAATATATTGTGTATATAGGATCAATTCTTTTGGAACATAATTCAATTAAAGGAGGTTTATTTTTCCTTCAAATAAACAGTAAAGAACCAATAATGTCTGCAGTGGGTCAAAACTGGCAAGATGGTGTTCATGGCATCCAACCCAAGCCCTACTTCTTTTAGATATCAATGCACACATAATCACATACATGCATACACAGAGTACAAAGAGACAAGCCAGGGACTATAATACTGAAACCCGTACAGTGCATGGTGAGTGCCAATGAGAGGACTAATGAAGAATCAATCTGAGAAAAGCCTTCACAAAATTCAACATTTTCTATCATATATCACTGCAAAAAAGAAATCAACATTATTTCATCCCTCAACTGGCTGCACTTAATAGTCATTCTATTAAGAGGGACAAAATTTGAATACCTAAGATATTAATTAATTAATTAATTAATTAATTAATTAATTAATTATATTTCTATACCGCCTTTCTCCCGTAGGACTCAAGGCGGTGTACAGTCAAGAAAAATATAGATACGCAAACATCATAAAATTGCTAATTAAAATTATTATTATAACATAGTTTGACCCAATTAAATAGAACCTAAAATTAGATAACATTTTAAAAACATTCACATGTTCATATGTTTAGCCCCACCTGTTGGAACATCAGGGTTTTGAGGGCACGGCGGAAAGCACGGAGATCAGGGATATTTCGTATCTCAGGGGGCAGTTCATTCCAAAGGGTTGGAGCCCTCACAGAGAAGGCCCTCCCCCTGGGAGTCGCCAGTCGGCATAATTTGACTGACGGTACCCTGAGTAGTCCCTCCCTGTGAGAACGAACTGGTCGGTGGGAGGCTATTGGTGGCAAAAGACGGTCTCGTAGGTACCCAGGTCCTAAGCCATGGAGTGCTTTAAAGGTGATAACTAACACCTTGAATCGCACCTGGAAGACCACCGGGAGCCAGTGCAGCTCGCGTAGGAGAGGTGTTACGTGGGCGCAACGACCTGCGCCCATAATCACCCGCGCGGCTACATTCTGGACCAGTTGGAGCCTCCGGGTGCTTTTCAAGGGGAGCCCCATGTAGAGATCATTACAGTAGTCCATACGGGAGGTGACTAGGGCATGAGTGATCGTGCGCAATGCATCCCGATCCAGAAAGGGACACAACTGGCGGATCAGGAGAACCTGATAAAAGGCACCCCTGGCCACGGCTGTCAAATGATCTTCTAAAGATAGCCGTGAATCCAGGAGGACACCCAAGTTGCGGGCCCTCTCTGTGGGGAGCAAGATCTCATCCCCAATTGTCAGTGATGGTACCAGCTGACTATACCGGGATGCCGGAAGCCACAGCCACTCAGTCTTGGAGGGGTTGAGTCTGAGCTTGTTTTTCCCCATCCAGATCCGCACGGCTTCCAGGAAACGGGACATCACAGCAAGGGCATCATTGGGGTGGTCTGGGGTGGAGATGTATAGTTGTGTGTCATCAGCATACTGATGAACACTCACCCCAAAACCACGGATGATTTCGCCTAGCGGTTTTACATAAATGTTGAACAGAAGGGGTGAGAGGACTGACCCTTGCAGCACCCCACAAATAAGGTGCCTCGAGGTCGATCTCTGCCCCCCTGCCAATACAAACTGCGAACGGTCAGAGAGGAAGGAGGAGAACCACCGAAGCACGGTGCCCCCTATTCCTAACCCCTCCAGCCAGTGCAGTAAGATACCATGGTCGATGGTATTAAAAGCCGCTGAGAGATCTAATAGGACAAGGATAGAGGAGCAACCTCTGTCCCGAGCCCTCCAGAGATCATCAACCAATGCGACCAATTCCGTTTCTGTGCTGTATCGTGACCTGAAGCCCAACTGGAACGGATCCAGATAGACAACTTCATCCAGGTATCGGGGTAGTTGTCGCGCCACCACACTCTCAACAACCTTTGCAACAAAGCGAAGATTGGAGACTGGACGATAATTTGATAATATAGCCGGGTCCAGGGAAGGTTTCTTGAGGAGGGGCTTCACAACTGCCTCTTTCAAGGCAGCGGGAAAGACACCCTCACTCAGAGAAGCATTTATAATCCCCTGGAGCCAGCCTCGTGTAACCTCCCGGGAGGCCAGTACCAACCAGGAGGGACACGGGTCCAATAAACATGTGGCAACATTAAGCTTGCCCAGAATCCTGTCCACGTCCTCAGGAGCCACAGAGTCAAACTCTTCCCAGATAATGCTCTCAAGACCTACCCCCGTCTCCTCCCCTGGATCTACCAAATCGGAGTCCAAGCCTTCCGGAATGTGAACGACTTTATCATGCAAGAATTGTACAAAATCCTCAGCTCGACCCTGTAAGGGATCTTCCCGTACCCCCACCTGAAGTAGGGAGCGGGTCACCCTAAACAGCACGGCTGGGCAGTTCTCTACAGATGCAATAAGAGCGGAGAAGTAGCTAGACTTCGCTGCTCTTATCGCCACTAGGTAGGTCTTAATATAAGATCTCACCTGTGTTCGGTCAGATTCAGATCGGCTTGTCCTCCAATCGCTCTCCAGGTGTCTTTTCCAATGCTTCATCTTTCTCAGCTCCTCGGAAAACCAAGGAGCTAGACGAGATCGGCATCAGGTCAGAGGCCGCAAAGGCACGACGCAGTCCAAGGCCCCAGTAGCCGCCCTGTCCCAGGCGACCACCAGGTCCTCAGTCGAGTCATGAGCCAGAGTCTCAGGAAATGGCCCAAGCTCCATCAGGAACCTTTCGGGGTCCATCAGGCGCCTGGGACAGGACCATTTGGTTGGTTCCGTCTCCCTGCGGGGGGTGGAAGTGACTTGAAAGTCCATGTGAAGGAGAGAATGATCAAACCATGACAAGGGCTTGATGTCTATATCCCCTATTCTTAGATCATTCAGCCACTGATCAGAGACAAAAATCAAGTCCAGAGTGTGATTCCCCAAGTGGGTGGGGCCTTTAACTACCTGGGTCAGGTCCATGGCTGTCATGGAAGCCATGAACTCCCAAGCCATCTCCGACATCTCATCAGCGGATGGCAGGTTAAAATCCCCCATAACAATAAGTCTGGGGGTTTCCACCGCCACCCTGGCTATAATGTCGAGCAGCTCAGGCAGGACCGCTGTTACGTGGCAGGGAGCCAGGTACGCAATCAGTAGGCCCATCTGAATCCCCCGACCTCACTTCACAAGGAGGGACTCACATCCGGCTATCTGAGGAACAGTGGCCTCCCTCGGGCAAAGACTTTCTCTAATGATTGCTGCCACTCCCCCACCCCTTCCCTGAGTCCTTGGCTGATGGAATGCGCGGACACTTGGCAGGCACATTTCCACAAGAGGAACTCCTCCCTCCTGGCCTAACCAGGTCTCCGTAATCCCTGCCAGGTCAGCACCCCCCTCTGAAATAAGATCATGAATGAGGGGGGCTTTATTTACCACTGACCTGGCATTACATAACATCAGCCGTAGACCCAGGGTCTGAGACTATAAATATAAATATAAATAGCTCTTTGTCTCTCTTTTTGGCATAAAGCAACATGAACCAAACAGTCACTTGCTTGGAAAGAAGACTCCAGAGTTACTTATGTGTGTGTATGTGTTTGTTTGTGAGAATATTATATTTTCATTTTCTATCTCCCATTAATTTTCAGTTAGATGTTTGCAATTTCTTATGATTCTCCTCCAAAAATCTACAGAAATATCCAAATTGAATTTTTTTGCAAAACTTAATAGTATATAAAAATTATTTTATATACCATATTTTTTGCACTATATAATGCTCCGGACCATAAGACGCACCTAGCTTTTGGGGAGGAAAACAAGAAAAAAAAATCTGCTTCTGCCTCCCAGCATCTATTGGTATTCATCTGGCTAGCGTCCTTGCAACAAACAGCAAACGGCCTGGTGAGCTTCACCATGTTATCGCAGCCTGATTTAGCACGAGCAGCTGATTGGCAGTTGGATCAGCCTCCCGGAATATTGCCAATCAGCTGTTCCAGGCTGTAGGGATTGCCGCTGCCTATCGCCACCTCCGGAGTCCCATTTTCAGCCTCCGTCTGCCAAGGGTGGGATCTACTGGTTGGAGAACTGATTCGCTGAGCGCATGCTGACCCTTACTTATGGTGAATCAGACTATAATTTATCAGAATATTTACTAGGATGCATTATTTTTTATTTTATTTATTGCAATTATACCCAGCTTTTTCTTCTGACAACTCAAGATTACATATATATGGAAGTTCTCTCTCATTCTACCCTGCAACAGGTTTGAAAGGTAAATTGGTCTAAAATAGTGACTCACCCAAAGTCATTCACTGATTTGAATCAGCATCTGCCATATCCAACATTTATCAACAGACTGTATAAGTGCTAATCCAATTTATCCACTCTTAATTTGAGCTTGTAAGACCTACTGCCTTTCTCAGATTGCTCAGAAATGTAGATATCAATGTTGCTGGTGACATGTAATTACAGTACAAAATTACTGTAGAACTCCCTGTTC